GGAATCCAGAGCCAACGCTCCCTCTAAGCTGAGTGAGTGTGAGCCAGCTCACTGTTTTTTAGCCTCCGGCTCACACATTTTCATCTTCGCTCAGGAAGGATGGGGCTCCAGAGCAAACTGATTTCTGCAGCAGGCAAATGGCTCACTCAAACCTCTAATGCCAGTAGCTCACCAAGTAGGATTTTTTGCTCACAAGACTCCACAGCTTAGAGGGAGCATTGATCAAGACTCTCCTATTTGAACCCTGAGGCTACCTGGAAAGCACTGCAAATGTTCCCTTGGGGTAAGGGGAGTCTGTGTGTGATTTTAGCTCTAGGGAAGTTTTTGAATGAGAGGGTGTGTGTGTGTTCCTAGAGAGGCTTGTGGGTGTTGGGCCTGCTGTGAGACGTGAGCTGTCCAGCCAGAGAAACCAGTGCTGTGTTAAGGGGGCTTCCAGTTTGTTGCTTGGAAATACGATGGAGCAGGCAGGCGGACCGCCCGATTCCTGGGCCTCCAAAGCAACCCACACCTTGGGAATCTGTACCCCCAGTGACTCCCCCTGAGTGGCCCCAACTCCTCCAAACCACCTAAAATAGACTGCTTATCTCCACCCAACAGTGACAGGGTGGGGCAATAGAAAAGAGCTAGAGTCCAGCAGCACCTTGAATTCTAACAAAATTTGTAGCAGGGGGTGAGCTTCCGTGAGTCACTGCAGTCACATCTTGAGCCGTGACTCACAAAAGCTCATACCCGGCAGCAAATATCATTCGTCTTCAAGGTGCTCCCGGACTCTGGCTCTTTTCTACAGCTGCCAACAGACCAACATGACGACCCACCTAGATCTATCTCCATCATGGAAAGCAAGGTGCAAGAACCAGAGACATGCCATCATATTTGTGCTTGGCCTTATTTATTCAGAAGACTACTGAAATGGTTAAACATATTTACCTGTGAGCTAGAAGCCTGAAACGTGGCGCATACATCCCCCCACATCCTGATTACTAGAAAGATATGGAAACTGGAGGTCAATCTGTCCTCCTGCAGAACAGGGAAGACGTGTAGCTCAAAGGGTGAAGATATTCTCACAACATCCACCCAACTAAAACCTCATAGCCTTCCACAGTTTAGCACCTCACCACAGTAGTCTGAGTCAGGGGCAGGTAAACAGTAGGTGGCGGGCGCTAGAATAACCAGAATTTGAAGGGAAGGAAGGGGAAACATTTTGTGGGACTAAAAGGCTTCTTAGAGGAGCTGTACAATGATAGGGAAATGATAGAGATAAACACTTGCCCATAATCCAACTATGGACCGTGTGCAGACTTATTGCCAGTGTGCTAAAACACAGAGTGCTCCTGAGTATACTTATTTCAAGATTCTGTGTGTGTGCCGCTTCCTAAAAAAGAACTCTCAACCAACAGCATTTGGGTCACAGAAACGTTGTGGATTTTTAATCGACGTGTCAATTATTTACCAAACCACTTCTGCTTATATTTATTGTATTTATGTAAGTTGTTTTATGGACTAATGTTTTATCTATGTTGGTTTTATAAATGCTGTGAGCCGCCCAGAGCCGCTTCGGCGGAAGGGCGGGATAGAAGTTGAATAAATATAAATATAAATAAATCAGTCATGTTAGACTGTATTGCTTCAGTTATGCAAATGGTCTTTCTGACACTGGGTCTGGGCTGATCTCTTGCTCTGAGTCATTTGGCATAGCTCTGCTCTCTCGGCTGTGAAAGGTTGCAGGCCCCTGATTTAGAGAGAGACAAAGAAACGCCAAGAGGAACACACAATTAATATACTGGAACTTCCCCTACCTTATGACCTTAACAAACAAAAACCGCAAATAGACAAAAGAAACCCCAGACATGTCATTAAACTGATCAGGCATGTCCCTAAAGATGCGCAATGCTGATTAATGGAAACAAAGAGAAAATTCAGGACTACCAACCATCTGGCTACTGTCACAGCTGGGATGCTTAAGAGCTCGAAGCCATGGAGCAAGACCAAATGCACAAGTCATATACAGATTCATTTAGTTTTGAAACTTGTTTCATTATTTCCACATCTGAGACTATAGCGTGCCTTAAAATGACCATCACTTCCTTCGGCGTTACGGCCAGAAGGCTCAGACTCATAACAAAGCGGATGAACCGCTGGAGGGGAAAAGCCTTTTTACGGGAAGTCTAATGCATCCTTTGAAAAATGTTTTGGAAGGCAATGCAGTATTTTATGTAACACATTCAGAAAGCAAACTGCCAACACCTGGTTTTTATCGCATATGGAACCATTATTCCCCTGAAACTACTACCAGATACCATTCATCAATCTTAACCTTGTTCTGAAACTTCTTAGCACGGTCTTATTTCATTTGGAAACAGAATTTAATTGACCCATTCCCCAAGTTTTAATCATACACAATATTTGACTGTGTCTAAAGAAGAGCCGGCGGAGACCAAATCCGATGAAGAAAGGTTCCCTATGAAGAAAGGTTAAAGCACTTGGGGCTCTTTAGCTTGAAGAAACGACGGCTGAGGAGTGACATGATCGAGGTTTACAAGATTACCCCTGGGGTAGAGCAGGTAGAGAATGAAGTCCTTTTCTCCCTTTCTCACAATACAAGAACTCGTGGGCACTCCATGAAATTGCTGAGCAGTCGGGTTAGAACAGATAAAAGGAAGTCCTTCTTCACCCAAAGAGTGATGAACACATGGAATTCACTGCCACAGGAGGCGGTGGCGGCTACAAGCATGGATGGCTTCAAGAGGGAATTAGATAAGCATGTGCAGCAGAGGTCCATCAGTGGCTCTTAGCCATAAGGTCTAGATAGGGACTCTGGGGCAAGGGATGCTCTGTCTTCTTGGTGCTTGGTGGGGGCAACAGTGGGAGGGCTTCTGGAGTCCTGGCCCCATTGCTGGACCTCCTAATGGTTTTTGGTGCTTGGGAGGAGCAGCAGTGGGAGGGCTTCTGGAGTTCTGGCCCCACTGCTGGACCTCCTGATGGCACCTGGTATTTCTGGCCACTGTGTGACCCAGAATGTTGGACTGGATGGGCCATTGGCCTGATCCAACATTGGTTTCTCTGATGTTCTTATGGAGAAACATCTGGAGCAGAGGTCCCTCAGTGGCTATGAGCCACAAGGTATAGACAGGAACTCTTGGTCTGGGGCAAGTGATGCTCTGTCTTCTTGGTGCTTGGTGGGGGCAACAGTGGGAGGGATTCTGGAGTCCTGGCCCCACTGTAGGACCTTCTGATGGCACCTGGTATTTCTGGCCACTGTGTGACACAGAAGAGTGTTGGACTGGATGGGCCTTTGGCCTGATCCAGCATTGGCTTCTCTCTTATGTTCTGATGAAGGCAGAGGTTCTGTGGCGGGGAGGGGGGGGGCTTCAGGACTGGAGGTCAGGCTTCCCACTCTCGGCAGGGCCCCATGGCACCGTCTGTCAGGAGCTTGGGCCTGGCTTTGGATGCCTCCCTATCCACGGAGGCCCAGGTCACAAATGCCGCCAGGCTGGCGTTCTTCCAACTTTGCCTTGCTTGGCAACTGGCTCCTTTCTTGCCGCATCCTGACACCTGGCCACAGTAATCCATGCAACGGTCACCTCCAGGCTAGATTACTGTCACTCTACGCTGGCCTGCCCCTGGGACTGACCCGGAAACTCCAGCTGATCCAGAATGCGGTGGCGCGAGCCCTGACGGGAGTGTTAAGGACAGCACAGAGCCAGCCTGTGCTGCGCTAGCTACACTGGCTTCCAGGGGAGTACCGAGTAAGGTTCAATATTTTGGTGTTGACCTTTAAGGCCTTGAGCGGTCTGGAACCATCGTATCTATGGAACCGTCTCCTCTGGTATGCCCCCAGGAGAGCTTTGCGCACAGCTGAGAGCAATTTGCTGGTGATTCCCTGGCCCCAGGGCTGTCTGGCTGTCCTCGACGAGGGCAAGGGCTTTTTCGATCCCGGCCCCAACCTGGTGGAATTTTCTGCCAAATGACACCAGGGCCCTGCGGGACCAAGTGAAACCCAGCAGGGCCTGTAAGGCAGAGATGTCCTGCCAGGCCTTGGGTTGAGGGCAGCGACAGTTTCTTCCCTGGCTGGCACCCTCCCCCCCGTTCTGCATTTCTGTCCCGAGTTCCCCCTCCCCTTGCCCAGAAAAGGGCCCAGCAGCCCAGAACTGGGTTAGAAAATTTACAGGACGCCATCTTGGATCCTTTATTCTGGTTTCTTACTTTTTTATCAAATTGTATATTGAATTTTAATATTTGTATACTTTTATGGCATTATCCCCCTTTTGCACGTCGCCCAGAGCCCGGCATAAGCTGGGATAGGGTGATTAATAAATCGAAATAACAACAACAACAACAACAACAATACCTTTGCAATGTCTTCCTGAGCCGCTACTAGATTCAAGTAGGATATATTGACCAGGTCGGGGCCATACACGATGGTAAGCATCCGGTTCTCCAGCCTTCCTCCAATGTTCCCTGCATCCAGGTGTTCACGCAATTTTGGATCCTGAAAGGCAAGAATGGGCAAGGTCATTAAAGGGTCTTCCTCTACTTAACAAAGAAAGAAAGAAACAAAAAAACAACAGCTGAGGGGGTGGACATGATCGAAGTTTACAAGATTATGCCTGGGATAGAGCAGGTAGAGAAAGAAGTCCTTTTCTCCCTTTCTCACAATACAAGAACTCCTTGTGGACACTCCATGCCTCTCGTCAAATATCTGGAGTGTGTGCCTTTGGGAGGTTTACCCCAGGGAGGCCCAAACCAAAAGTCTTTAATTGCTGTTTTCCTAACACATTTCAATTATTTTAATGTCAATTTGACAGGAAATAACTCTGTACCTATGCATTACCTCCTTATGGGCGATCCGTCTTTTCCTTCAATGTAGTGGGAAAATGCCCCCCCCCCAAGAATACCATCCACCAGACATTACTGACGTGCCACCTCCACATGTGCTTCAGCGGAACTCCCCCCCCCTGCCCGCTTGAGCCTAGCGCCCTTGGAGAGAGAAGGCCGCGAACAAGGAAAGAGGAGCCAAGCTGCCCCATATGGAGACATCCCTCCCCTGCTGCCGAGGGAAGCGAGCGACTCTCCCCACCTTCTGGCACTGCACCGCAAGAGCAGGAAATAAATCTACTTCAGCGGATGATGGCGAGAGAGGCGGGCACGTACCCCCGTGTTGCTGAGGCAACCAAGGGACATGCTCCTCCTCTTCCTGTGATGTCGCAGGGCCACTGTCCGCCCTCACCCTGTGGGGCTGGATGAGGCACAGCACCCTCAAGTTCCCTCAGCAGCTGACCGGTGGTCCCCCTCTCTTATGCGGCCAATGGGGTGGGCTAGGCACTGGTGGGCTGTCACCTTCCTCCACAACCTCCCCCCCCTCCGAGGAACTAGTATGCGGTGAGGGGCAACACAAAACGGTGCTGGGGAGGCGCACAATAGTCAACCACTGCTGCTAATAGCCAACCACTGCTCACCACCACCACCCTGTTACATGTGAGGCCACTTCACACACACACACACACACACACACACACACACACAACCCCTTTGTATGAAATACATCATCGCCTCCCTTTCACTTATGTATAGTTCTACTGCCGCCGAACACTGGAACACTGGAATGCTCCCCGAGCATTCCTTTCATGCATTATGCAGAGTGTGGGTTCCGTTTCACTCCTCCAGCGGACAGAGCATTTCATAACACAGAGATCAGAAAGAGGCCCAAGAGTGCTGAACTACAGGAACAGAAAGCGAACACGCTGATGTCAGTTTATTGATAAAACAGTTGGTATCCAGCATCTTAATTTTTGTAACACGTTAAAATCCCAGAGACTGCCACATAAGTAGGCCATCTGATTGACTGAGCATGCAATTTGCCAGAAATTAGCATTCATATAATACACCAGTTACAGAACAATAAGCACTGTACGTGGCACCATTTCGCCCAGGGTCACTCAGCGGGGCAGCGAGATGGAGTCTAAAGACTCTGAAGCTCGAACACTGCGGAAGCCCGAAGCCTAATCCTGACAGGCGGGCCTTTCCATCAGGAGTTAAACAGGAACCTTTTCTTCTTCGACTGAAGGAAGGCAGCCCTGAACCACCAGCAGGACGAGCCAGGATTCCAAGGGCAAACCAAGAACCTAATATAGCAAGTTGCCATTCTGGTCTTAGTGACACGGACTGTTCCTCAACATCACCCACCTTGTCCTTCTGAAGGGGTGTAACACCTTGACCACTGGCCAAGTCAGTCTCTCTCTGCCGGGCCCTGATGATTAATAACTGAGTCGCCTTGTCTTTGCAGAACACAAAACAAAACCAATGTGGCAGTTTATTAAAAGCTCCTGCAATGATTTATTTTTACATGCATTTCTTGTCAGCCAGCCAAGGGAAGAGTTCACCCCGAAGCAAAAGACAGGACACTTTTCTATTAACCTTGCAAAAGCTTCGGAATTAGCTGGTATTTATTTTTTTAAAGGGGGTGGTGGTGAAGCAGCAGCAGCGGGCACTTGTGACATCTGAAACATTAATTCCCATCTTCCAAATTACTCAGAAAAACATAAATTCTTATGATCCTTGGTTCACTGGGACACTCCGTGATGTTTTTAGCCCCTTGCGATCAAAAGCAAGCCCAAGAAAAGATTAACCATTCCTTTGCACATCACCTGACAGTGGTATTAATACCCACGTTGGAAATAAATACATTCAATAAAATGTGCAAAGTTGTTAACTTTATTTTGCGAAGACACAACAAATG